GGATATATTCTCATCTTTCATCATATCAGGGAAATTCTCTTCCAACAAACCTTGGACAATTTTCTCATTTTTTTTTTTTTTCTCTTCCTGTTCTGGAATTACAATTACACATAGGTTATTCCTTTTGAACGTGTTGCACATCAGCTTTAGGCTTTATTTTTTAAAATCTTTTTTCTGATTGATTTCTGTCCAAAGAAGTATTCAGGTGTTTGTCTTCAATCTCATTAATTCTGTCTTCCATGGATTCAATTCTACTGCTTTGCCCTTTCAATGTGTTATCTATTTCTGAAAATTGAGTATTAATCTTCTGGATTTCTATCTGTAGAGTTTGTATCATTTCTAATTTTTCATTTATCTTGTCATTTTGGTCTTTCATTTCCTTCCAAAATTGTTTTAGGGTTTTCTCTGTTTTGTTTAATTTTGCCAATGTTTTCCTTGATCTGTCTCTCAATCCTTTGAAGAAACCTAAGTATAATTCTTTTGACTTCCTTATCAGGGAGTTACAATGCTGTTTCTTCCTCAGGGATGTGCTCTGGGTCTGTATCCTGCTCCCTTGTTTCTACTGCTTTATTTTGCTTCTTTGTATGGACTGTGATGGTCTGTTGTCTCTGAGCAATTGTGACGTTGTTGTATTTAGAGCTCTGTTCATGAAGAGTAGTTAAGAATGAGTCAGGCTCTTTTAGGTGGTCATTTATTGTTGGCCAGTTGGTGCAGAAGGAAGTGGTGGCTCTCATTCACTAAGTGGAGCTGCAGGAGGTGTAGGTGTGGTTGCATCATATGGGCACCTTTGCTGTCTCCCAGTCAGGTAGACAAAAAAACAATTAAAAAAAAAAAACATAAAAAAAAATAAAAGCAAGAGGACAAAAAATACACCACATAAATACACTGGAATAATCACCAAAAAAAGAAAAAAGAAAGGAAAATAAATAAATAAATAACCTGCAATGTGTGGGGAAGGAGCAAAAAGAACAAAAAGGCAGAGTAGGAAAATAATGAAGGAAAAAATGGGGAAAATGCAAAAAGAAAAACAAGGAATAAGGATAACCATGAGTAAAAAAAAATGGGAACCAGGAACAGGGACTAGAGAAAAAGCTGAAAACTAGAACCTGGGAAGGGTAGAATAAAGAAGAATAATAAAAATAATAATTTTAAAATAAACATTTCAAAAAAAAAGGAAAAAAA